CATAGTTTTTGGTATTTTTTGCTTAGGCAAACCAACTGTGTATGTATGTATCGATCTGTTTTGTTATGGACATTAAGGGGGAGCGGGTGACCGCTAAATGAACCCATGCAAATTAACTCGAGTTTTTCTTTAATTTGCTGCTAGGAATCCTTTAAAGTTAACTTATTAACGTTAGCTTCTCTCTCCCATTCAGTTTTTGATCATTGATAATCTTTTATTCTTTTTATACTTACGTCATAAAATTAACACAATAAAGTAGAATTAGTTAATTAGATGAGTCACCAACATTTCTATTAGTTGACATATTTTCTGACAAGTGGTGTATGCAAACATTTAATTAAATCAGTTTTATATTTGCTAAAATCACTTCGATTATCCTAAATTAAGTTCGAGAATTCCACTAATACACGATGAATCACACTCAAGTCTTTACTCCTCTAAAAAGCAGGCGAGAGATTCACTCACAGAAATATTGAATCTTCTGAAAATTTGTAGTTTAGGAAGTCTGAAGTGTTTTTGCTATTGCAAGTTGCAGGTGCTACTGGTCCATAAATTTTGTTCTATAAGGGGACTCCATGAAAAAATTTCCTCTTGAAATAGACCATTTAAGTAAATCTGTATAGTGTTTTTTAAATATCCTATACCATTTAAAGTCTTTAAAGACATTATTACTAAATTACAGGAACTGCTCTCTAATGCGCTTTATCGTCATCTTATGTTTGTGAGGGAGGGTGTTTGTGTGTAAGTTTTTTTTAGCGTGCTACTTGTGCTTAGTTACATGTGTCCTCGGAAAAATGCAAAATTGAGTCAAACGACAAAAATTTTCAAAATGTCGGTATAATAGACAATGACTTAAAACAAGATAATTTTTTACCACAATCTCATCTAATTAATACCTTTATTTTATACCTACAGTACTTATTTTATGATGGACAAACAGGTATCGTTATTTTGGAGGCACAAGATTTTTTTGGTCTATTTAAGCATTGAATTCATATTTTTGAATGTCTTAGGCCCTATAACACACCTGGCTGTGCCGACAAATTGAACACCGCGCTTTAGCGCGGTATGATAATTTGTCGGTACGGCCAGGTGTGTTATAGGACCGAAGACATCCAAAAATATGAATTCAATGCTTATATTTACATTCTCTAAATTTCCTTCTTCATAATTGTTATTTCGTTTATCTTAAATATGAATTTAACGCCCTTCAAAACTGCCGTGGTTAATAGATGTAAGAGCCGTTTGTGACGTCAAATGACGTTAAATGACGTTGCAAAGTTAAATAACGCAAACAAACATTGCGACGAAAAGTGACAAATTAAGAGCCATTCTCTGTAAAGACTTGAAATTTTATATAGGAGCTGTGGCACGCATAGTCTCAGAATTTCTCCAAACTTTCTATGATAAAATTCTTTGATACCCTTAACTAAAATCAGGCAAAAATTGGTTGCTATGTGTTATAGTTACCAAGGCAACATGTCTTAAAGTTCGAAAAATGACATTTTTTACCATGTTTAGAGCCCCATAATTAACATTTGCGGCAAAGCAAACAATTGGCAATGACTGTTTCCAAAAGTTGAAGGTCTGTTGCCTCAAATGGCATGCATGATAAAAAGGTTTGGTAAATCAACTATTACATACGTTACTATGGTAACAAAGTATTAAAAAGTAAAAAAAATATTCATTGAATTTTATAAAGTCATACACGTAAAAATAAAAAGCAATTATAGGATGAAATGTGACCAAATAATAGAGAAAAGAGACCTGAAACATATACCAAAAAAAAAATTACAATATTTCATTTTGGTTGGCCAAGGTTTATATACAACATAGAGCCTTCAAATTTACACTCTGTATGTTTAAATCTGACCCTATCTTTTAAGAAAGCACATTTCCTCATAACTAATGCTCAATTTTTAAAGATGTTGGTGTGGTCCTTATTTTCCCATTTTAAAAAAATCAGATCAGATTTTTTAAATAGAGCGTTGCTATGGAAATAAGCAGAAAAAATATGCTTAAAAATCTGAAAAATATTTTGTTTCATTGGATACGTACCCTCAAATGTAGATTCCCAAAACTTTTATGATCGATATTTATTAACGGCTAACCTGACTTTTAATTTTGACTATCATCCAATCTCTAACTGGATGCAAGAAGCTGACTCACAGGGTTTAATATTGATATGAAGTTCACAAAATCGAACATTTTCCCTTCTTGGTAACCATAGCAACAGTGTTGTTTTCTTTGTCAAGTTTACTCAATATATGATACTCAACTTCGGTTCTACCAGATAAGTACTATTCAAGGTGAGTCATATGATATGTTTCTTGATTAAATGGCAACATAATTCTTAATGCAGCAAAAAATAATTCACTTTTAAGCACTGGTACTTTGTTTCCATGGTAACACTGCAAAGTAGCAATTATACCCAATTTTTCTTATGGTTTTGGTGTTGCAAGGTCCTAAGGATGCATACTTGCCAGTCTTGAATTTTCATGTTTTTCCTCAAGACAGTAGCATTAACCCAATCTTAGTAACTGGTTTTGCATGGTTACACTGTGTTACCATGGCAACCATAAAAGTTATTTATAGAATAATATTGCTTATGCTTATATACTTAAGGTCAAACATTTTCATTGTTTTTCTTAAGTCGTTGATTGAGTTTGAGCATGTAACACCTACCATTAGTGAATACGGAGTGTTTTTCAGCATATTTCAGCATTTTAAATGTATTCCAAATGTACCCTTGGTTACCACTTACTTAGAGATATATTCTAAACAGTTTCTTTACAGTGTAAGTGACATCAGGGTGTCATGTTTTTGTGAGAATGGTTTGTTTGCTTTTTCTAGTTTTTATTAAGCCACAGTCAAGATTTAAAGTGGCTGAAAATCTCGATTTTTCAAACTTTTCCGGCTGTTGCCATGGCAACCGAGACACATAGCAACGAAATTTTGTTTGATATTTGTTTCTGGTGTCAAGTACTAAGCATGAGTGAAGTTTCATCAAAATCGGTGACCATGCATGGCAACGAAGTTTAAGTGGTTACAGATAATGGCTATTAATTCTTAACGCACATTACGTTAATTTTTACGTGATTTTTTTTAGGATTATAGTTTCTCATTAAATTGAAATAAACATACATTTAGGTGTTCCTAGAGTATTGAAAATGCATATTGTTCCTACTGTGTATTCTAACTCGCGGTGACAAGGTTTCGCGTATGTTATAGAAATTTGAACGTCGTTGATTTCTAATGGATTTCATAAGGAAAATTACACTGAATGTAAATATTTCTATGTGTTTACATGTACATTATCGAAATTTTATTTTAAGAAATGATAACGTACTTTTATGAAGTCTACACCCTGCGTTTCCTACAGATATTCCAAAACGTTTGCTTCCAAACTTTTCAATTACAAACAAACCCAATAATACCTAGATAATGAACATCTAAAAATCCTCTAAAAAATTCTTGCTCCTCTTCTCTCAACTACAGTCCTGCTGAACACGTCAATACTGGGATATTAACTTAGTTGAAAAAAATAAAATCAATCATAGATGAGGGCCCTCAATACAGGAAGCGCCGATCTTTTAATTAGAGATAAAACCTTATTTATATTCTATTATGCATTCTAAATATGATAAAAGAAGAGCTGGACATTCGTCCGCATGAATTGAATGTCTTAGAAATATATAAAAGTATAAGGCAAATCGCGAATCATTTCTCCTTCCATTTTCAAATAATTTAATTTTGTTTATATTCTCGCCTCTCATTGGTTGATTTCCAAAAAAGAACGCAAAACATTTTGTATAATCTGGTTTGGTATGGGGACACGCCCCCTTGACGACCAGCTTAATCATCTTATCCATGCAATCCCCTCATTTCCAGTCCTCGGAGTCCATGGAAAATTCAAGATTTAATAACTCTATCTTTAACTTCAAACACTTACTCGATCTTACCTCACGTAAACATACATCATGGCTGCTAGATCCATGTATCAGTTATTACTTCCCCTCGCTTCACATCACTTCCGTTACTACGGTTGTATTATTGCGCGGTAAATTTGAACTCGTAAAAAGCAACACAATTTTACATCCAAAGTTGTTTAATTATTTTAAAATTAAATCATAAGGAATGACTCAATGACTTGGCCATATTATCGAGTATAATTTTGGGTCAGTTTACGCTTTTTTATAATCCGCTTCGCGGATTATAAAGCGTTAACTGACCCAAACCAGATTATACTCGATAATATGGCCAAGAATTAGAGTCATTCCTTAATAAATACACGATACGTGTGCTAAATGAGAGATACATGTACTTCATTAACAATATTTTACGATGTACTGTTTCAGCAGATGCAAGTAACATTATCTTCTTTGTAAAGCACATTTTTCAAATTGTAGTCGGAATTGTGTTTAATTCCATCTCTGGAACTGTTACATACATGTATACACGTTATTTACCTTCCAAGGATGAAATGCTTCAAAATAAAAAAAAATCACCCTGATTTATACAAAAGTAATCTGCACTTGATACTAAAAAGACACATGAATTCGTTATTTACAACATTTTTATAGTCTTTGGAAACAATTGCTTCCAACAAACTGTTGGAATTCATATGGGCACTAATTTTATTCCTTTATTTGCCATCTATTTTCTTTATATTTCTATTTAGCAAATATAAAAAAAAAATTCATGGATGGAAGAAAACACTTGTCGTGACCTTCAGTATATCGGCGATGTTTTATCAATTAGCAATAGCTATTTCCATTTAAACTATACCTAGACCAAATTTATCCCAGTGAACTTGAAATAAAAGACACTGCTGAGTCTGTCATTTCTTTTTTCATATTTGGATGTTTTTCTGACTATAATCGATAATGACCAACTTACAACTTAATTGTATTTTTCAATAACGAGATGACTTCAGCTTTTCCATCGTTAATTTTCCCTATTTATATAGTAATATTCCGCGACACCTGCATATGGTGATTATGTCTCCCAACTTATTTGCTGCTCAAGAGCATGCTCTTATAAGTATTATCAATTTGCATAGGATACCCCGTTTGAAGTCAGTGTTTTTCTTAAATAAAGACCTTTTCCTAGAAAATATAACCTGTCAATGGATATTAATTTGAATGACTTGTTTCATATCAATTTTAAACATATGCTCTTTTATACTTAATTTGCCTACGAATGTTTACCTTCTTGGCAATACATAAGGGGTCTCAGTGGTTGTGACCGGTCACCAGGGGATAATTTCTCCATCACGGCACCTGATCCCACCTACAGAATTTCCAGGAGTCCATGTTCATGTCTTGTTCATAGATTTGTTGTTCGAAGTCTTTTTATAAGATCGCTCACTTTTCGATACCTTTAAAGCAATATGAGCTGCATTTTTGAGAATTTTATTTTACTGGTAAAATGTGTTATTATGATAATCTGTATGTAATCTAAACCCTTATGATCAATAAAACCAAAATAAAGTTTAAAAATGTTTCAGAAGAAATATCTCTGTACAACCGAATATACAGTATTATATAAGAAATCATTATTGTACAGGACGACAATGATTCAATTTTGCTTCAATCAAAGCGTATAAAAAATTCTTTCATAGCTAATATAACTAACAGAAGTTCATAAATGTTCTATTTTTGTGTCACTGAAATAGTTAATTACAAATTTGCATCATTTTTTTCCGATGTCAAACATGCAGCTCAAATTGCTTTAAAGAAAGTAATCATAACGATCAGTGATCGATTTTAAAACAAAGCCGTGAACACGACATACTTCATGCACCATATGAAAGTCTTGAAGATGGATCAGATGCCTAGAGTTAATTAATGTATAGTTTGTCAAAATTTACCTTTATAAGATGAATTGACCATCTATTAGGGTGTTTTTTTTTCTCTATAACAGCTATCTGCGAGAAGATGTTTGAAACAAAAAAAAATTATGAGTTTTATACATAAATAAAAATATATGTATGTTAATTGACTAATACGGAAGAGGAAATATCTATTTCTTATTCAATAAGATGAAAAAATTCCAAGTATATAATATATCATCAACCATTCGCACTAATTTAAAACAATGATCTTCCAATTACGAAGGGTTTACACTTGCAATGTAGTTTATTATCTATAATTTCTGCATAATTTATAAAGCATTATTGAAATATAACCCCCTAGTGCAATCATGTACTCAATTATCTGTATATTTTTCCCCATATAATACTTGTTTTGGCCAATTTATGATAACAACATACAGCAAACCTATTTAACAACATCTCTATTGGGAAAATATCTCAATATCTTGTATGGGGCAATGTTAATCAAGAATTAAAGGGAATTGGACACAGTTTCGGCTACAACTTTCAAATTAATTTTTTTTTTCCCATTTTTATGTTTATACATGTCTAACTAAGGTATTTCTAATGGTCATCCAGATTTTAATTTCAATTGTTGAGATACAAGACAGATTTAGAGCTCCAGACCTTTCTAATATAAACAGGGCCCCTGCTTTTTTCTTTTCTTTTTTTTTTTTTTTTTTGTTTACATAGGTTAAAATATGCTAATATGTGTTCCATCAAAACAGAAGTTTTTCTCAAAAGAAGTTAATTCTAAACACGATAAGAGAGTTTCTAGTGATTCGCTGAATCTCGTTTTGTTTTAAATATATTTTCTTGTAAACAAAAATTAGGCACGAGCCTTGTTTACATTATGACGAACTTTAAGTTCTGTATCTCCTTTGTAAATCAACAAGTGATATTCAAATGTTTGGTGATCATTAGAATTGTCTTTTCGTTGTCCTTTCTGTATCTCCTTTGTAAATCAACAAGTGATATTCAAATAAAAAAAAAATTGTAAAAATTTGAATTGGTTGAAAAGTAATTCAGTTTAAACCGTGTCCTTGTCCCATTAAAGGGACAAAATGTGTCAAATGAATCTTCATATGTTTTACAAACGGGACTATATGTACTACAAAAGATAATTTAAAAGAAAGGCTTGTGAAAACTTTGGCTCAAGTCCAACTTGTATTGCACCTCCTATTATCATCTTACACGGAGGTCTTTTTTTACGATTCTGTGCATATATATTTGTCTGCCGAGTTTTCCAAATCATTACCTTTTTCATTGCTGCATAATTGATAAGCGAATGTTATGTAGCTTTAATCTTTAGAAGTGGATTAATTTCCATGGTACCTGATCCCGCCTCTAATGTTTTTGAGGTCCGTGTTTGCTCTGCTCCTGTTTTGTATTGTTTTATGGACTTTTGAGCTTGAATACTGTTTGTTATCTCCATATATTTCATTTCATTTAAGATTTTGATCAAATCTCTTGTAGAATTCGAACATACATATGGAAATAAAATAAGGTATTGTTTTGATAATTAGATTTTACCATAATTTATATTTGAATAGGTACCTGGATCGGAGGAGATATTTTCTGCCAGTTATTCGCCTACTTCAGCAATTCTCTGATCTCCTTCGTTATTTTGGGTGCGACTCTGGCGACTTTTGAAAGGTTCAGTAGCATTTGTTGAATAATATGCATATTTTTATATATTTCTATTCGATAATATGACGCCAAATATAAAAGATAGGGATACTGCTACATTACTTTTGGATCAACCCTCTATCTTTGCTCTGTATTTTACTTAAACAATAAAGGGAACCGTAATGTAATGCTTGTCATTCGTATGGACAAATAGCAAAAAGAGTGTTTCCTATTTGTTTCAACATGCTGTGATTGAATAATGAAATGTTTTCGTTGAATATTTTTTTAAAAACATTTTGTCCTATATGTATATTTCTACCTGAAATTAACATAACCTTAAAACAACAACTAATGTTCGCAATATAAACAACCTTTTTTGGAACATAGATCACAAACTTAAAACCTTTGAAAAACAGAAAGTAAAAGTAATTATTTACTGGAGAATATACGTGTATTAATTCAGTAATTTATATTGTATATTGTAATCTTTAGGAAGTATGCCGTGATTGACCCAGACAAACATCTACAAGTATTTACACCAATCAACACCAAGCTCCTGGTAGTCGGGTTTTGGATGCTGTCCGTCCTGCTGTGTGCTGGGCCCCTTTACGGCTGGGGAGAGTATTCAAATTTTAGAGGTAAATGTGTCAATTAACTAATTTCTTTATTGTAAAATGTTTCTTTGATCAGTCTTATACACAGTTTATCTCGTAGTTGAGTGTAATTTTATTTCCTAAATAAAAAGAGATGGAAATTATAACCGAAAAACATGTACATGTTACTACCAAAGGAGAGAATTTTTAATTGTTGCATGGTAAAAAAAAAAAACTATTTAGAGTTTTACAGTATCGTAGTAAATAAAAATGTATGAATTATAGTAGAAATAGTAGTAAAAATACAACAGTGAAATATCGTCAAATTCTTTTTGTTGGGAATCTAACTGTTATTCGGTGACTAAAATTTTGACACTGTGCATGGTAACAACATTGGAGATAAAGGATGAAATCAAAATGCACTTTGAATTGAGAATGATTTAAACTAAACCAATTTTATTAACCTAGCAGTCTCCTCTTTCAGGTGTAATGAAGATTCTGCTATCTGTTACATTGGATAGGAATGATTCAAAGAACCTCACAGACTCTCCTTGGAATTCAACCCTTAGCAGCATTTTGTGTCAACCTGTGAACGGGACACACAACACCAGAATGAAAGAAATTGCAGATAGGACAATGTTCACTGTCCTGCAAGAATGGCCTGGAACAGTCCGGCGCTCTTTAACGAATAACTGTGAAAATGGACAGATCATTCTTCTTCTCAGAGCAGAAACCACTGCAGTGGCTGATATTATCTTCCGCGATATTTTAAGTATGCGATTTGATGACGTCATTATGGCGGGAAACAATAAAACTATGGGCCAAGAGACAGGACTCTTATTGAAATCTACGGTTGATAGAAGTGATTTTCAGTTGTACAGAGACGCCTATATTTCTTTTCAAAGTAAGTTTACTATTTATTTACAATCTTTTCAATATACAGGCCTTTGATTTGATATTTATAACTAAACACGAGCAGAAGTTTCTTTTTCTAAAAGTGTACCTTCTTTGTCAACCGTCTACTACGAATTATACCGGTATTTATCGACTGTTGATTTTGACATGCGTTGTTACACAACAAACTAGAAAGCAAAATGGGTTAACAATTGTTACCTTTGGCAAAACTGTGTAGTACTTTGTTTCAGGTTGATGTCCACACCTTTCCAGTATTCTGTGAATGTTGATTTTTTTAACTTTTAATGACAATAAAATCTTTACAACAAATATCTTAATTGCAATCCGTCTAAGTATCCATGTTCTTTCTCCTACAACTTTAGTCACGTGGACAAATCATTACTGGTGACGTTAATATACTAGTAATTAACAACGAGGACCCAAAATCATTGAAAAGACGTTTGAGTTCCACATTAGAAATAACTATAATGGCTTTATAGATCAGCTGTTCTAACGAACTGTTGAAATTAACTTACTAATCGTGCCTCATTATAAGCAGACCTGATTTTTTAAAAAATCATTTTTCTTGAATTGATTTGATATCAGTCTATCTCGCTAAAAGTCAACATTCTCATATTCTATAGTCGTTAGAAGAGATTTAAACAACTTTCCTGTAAATCACTGTTGAATAACGTCTTTCATTTCAAGGTCATTATTTTTTCATCTCTTTCTTTAACCGATCTTGACAGCAGAAGAAGCAGACGTACATTGTGACCTGTAGACAAGGGATTCTTACTCCTCCATGGCACCTGATCTCACCTCTGTTTTTCAGCTGTTCGAGTTTGTTCTGCTCATTAATGGACTTCTGAGTTGATTTGTTATTTTTATTCACATCAATGATGTGAAAAATCAGTTTTCCTTGCTTTGTTTTGGGTTTTGGACCGTGTTGGTTATTCGTGTGTTTCTTTTCTTTGGAAAAATAAAAATTTCACAACGAATTAAATATGAAAACCATACCCAATAATTGATCATCAATTATATCTTAAATATAAGTACTTGGGAACGTTTTCATATAACTACCAATAACTTTGAATTTATCTTCTTTTTTGGATTTCTATGATGTGGATCGACAGATATATCCAATTCAAATAAATATTTAAGCATCTCGCTTCCATTGAATGTAATTCAAAATGTTAAAGAATATTTTCAAATTCAAATCATTTTTTTTAATTTTCAGGCATCGGTGTATGTTCTCTGGATTTCTCACCTACAAATGCTTACGTATTGTCCTCGACAATATATGTGTTGTGCACTACTGTTCTTGGACCCCTAGTGCTAATGATATTAAATGCATTGGTTGTCGCCAACCACATAAAGTGTCCGTACTACTCACTTAACGATGACGTTCCTTACCTCAGAACCGTCAACGCTGGAGGAATTTCAACAGCTATCTGCTGCATACCGTATTATATAATTAACTTTATGAATATGCATGGAATAGTGATTAACCGAATTGTGAATATATTGTGTACAGCAATGTTTTATAATTCTCCACTTTGGATATCCTTGCCATTTTTAATGATGTACTTTTCAAAATTGCTCAAAAAGAGACCATCAAGTTCTGTTGAAGCAACGGAACTGCAAAGTATTGTAGACTCAAGTGTGGAGTGAAATTTTATGCAAGAGTGTGGAAATCTTTATAATGTTCAATGGCAGCGATTGTTTTTGTTTTGTTCAAAGAATGTTTTTGACGTTTTATTAATTTCATTGCCTTCATTTACATCTCAGGCGTTGTTTAAATCAATACTTGATGGAGTTATACGTTTTTTTACGGAACAAAATATAGATTTTTATAGGTCGTCAATAGGATATTCACCGTCGTCTTTTAGCAATTAGTAGTGGTTTTGTGATCTGTCCATACTAATGATGTATACATTCTGACTTCTCTTGGAAAAAAAATTTTGATTATTTTCAAAAACATTTTAAGTTAGGTTGGATACTGGAACAAACCGTTAAGACAAAATTGTTAAAGCTGTTGAAAAATTAACAAAAGTGATATTTTCAAAGAATCTGCCTACTTTAAATACTAGTTACATTTTACAGAAGCCTCAAAATATAAAAATTAAAACAACATCATGCTAGACAAAGCTTTTTATTGACAGTTTTGTTATTTTTCTTATTAAAGTGAAATGATAGTTATAAAATGATAAATTTGTCTGTCTGTCTGACACATCTTTGCAAGAATCATCACTAGTAAGCGGAGATTTTGCTTATTTAGGGGCAAAATAATGACATGTTACAACATTTTGACCGTCATTGAGAAGAATGAATCCATCGTCTATCAATTATTTAGCGTAATGAGAGAAATGAGGGGAATTTATTTGACAAGATGGTCAAACCTTCATTTTTGTTGTTATAATTTTTGCTTGTTTTGCAAGAATGACCGACTCATACTTTCAAGAATTAAGAGGGGAGGGGAGTATCTCGTCATATCAAGATAGATATTGCAACAAAACTTAAAAAGGTTATGAAATGTATAAGAAATTTATTTTTCCTAACTATAGAAAAACAAACAAAAAACAATACTGCATAATCATGGATGACGTCAAGGTACAATGTATCTAGACTTTTGTTTAATTCATTACAAGTTGATGGAACAAGAATATCAACAGTCTCGTTTAAAGTCATCATTTCGTAAGTTCTATGGTCGATACAATGACGTTGTCGGCAAATAAAATTTTTCATTGAGTCAAATGCTGACTGACGTTTCCATACTAATCGTTAGTTCATTATTTATACACTGAATTGACGACGGATTTTTCCGTTATTTCCGATCATGACAAGGTGCACCCGACGGGTGTGATCGGTCAACAGGGGATGCTTACTCCTCCATGGCACCTGATCCCACCTCTGATGTTTTGGAGGTCCGTGTTTGCTCTTCTCCTATTTTGTATAATTATTTTATGGTCTTTTGATGTTGAATACTGTTCGTTATCTCCAAATATTTCATCCAATCAAATTTGCGACATAACTGCAAAAATACATTTTAGGATAATATATTGGTATAAAATTTATAGGTAAAGTTATAAGATAAACTTATTATAAAGCTTTGAATTATTTTTTTTAATTCCTAGGTATCTGCATATCAATTAAGTAAAACGAGATAATAAAGGGTCCTACCCAATATCAACGATATACTTTTTTTAAAAAAAGATCTAAATTATATGAATTGGAAATAAACAACAATGCAATATACAATTCATATTGACTTTCTTATACTATTATACGTGCCTGTAACCCTGAAGTGTGAAATGTTCTTTCAGTTTCAGTTTAGCTATCAGTTGGAATTCGCTCGAACAGAAGCTATAACAATTGGCATTTGCCTAATTAACTGAGCAATTCAATGTCCTTTACTTTACCAAAGAGGCCAGGAACAAAACAATGTGTGTAACAGCATACAACTTACTTCGTTAGTGACCACTTCTGGCAGAAATAATTGAATTGAGAAAGGAAGCAAGAACAAACTTTGAACTTTTTTTAAATACGGTGCGACCATAACCATATACGTGCCTATGTACATTTTAAAAAGAATTAAAGAAAGACCCGACCATTTAGGAAAAAAATTGTATATTTTTACCAATATTTCAAAGCTTAAGACACCATATGATGCGCAAAAATCAAAATATCTTTATGTGATGAAAGAGAGACCTTATGAGTCATAACGAACTGGCACTAGGAGCAAACAAAATATGTTGCGACTTTGCAGACATAAATATCTTCTGCTTGATTTCGTATTAGTCCAAAAAGTTCATTCAAAGTAAATACAGTCTTTATAGACCTGGCACAGCAATTGTTAGATCTATATATCTTTTAGAACTAAAGGTGTAAAGGCATTAAGTAGAAATGACATATTTTTATTTGTTTCGATCAATGTTCCGCAGGTTCTGTACTCGCAAGTAAAGTATGGTCTTTATCAATCTCCTCTCAATCAAATAACAAGTCCAAGAATTTATTTAGCTTACTTTTTGTGAAACTGTCAAAAAGTTTATACTCTCTTTTCATCTCATTAACCAATTCAATTTCTTTCAAATGAAGTGTCCGAATAGGGAGAGAAGATTCAGGAATTAATTGGTCTCCGCCTTGTTTTATCCCAAACCTCAAATGAAATAATGTTATGTCACAAAAGTTTATGGATTATCTACCTTTAATTCCAATGCTAGCAACCGAAAGTTTGTCATTGATGATGAATGCTGTCCATGCATCAAAAATATTCTACTAGAAAAAAGAATTAAAATTGTCAAAAAGAATTGAATGGAAAGAATTTGTGTTAAGTTTAGAAGACACAACAAAATTTCCTGGACAGGATATACGTAATTATAGTATTATCATAAGAACAAGAGCAGAGTAAAATCGAAAATCCAGTGCTTTACAGTTTGATGAGGAGGTTGCCTAGAATACGGAGTAATGCGTAATCTGTCAGTCTCAGAGATGTACCGAGACACCCTGGACGAGATTGAGGTCGGGTTGTGTCCATGGCAAGGTCAAGTGTTAGTGAATGAAAGCCTTAAAAGAAGATGGATTTCATGTATGTAAGAAATATTTTATACGTGTAAAGAACAATTGTCAATATTAGTTGGAAATATCTTGCCTACAATTTTGTTTATTGATCAAAGTCTTTATTTTGATCAATAAAATTCGACTTTAATATGTATATATGTTTTGTCCTTTTTTCATAGCAGTTGGGAAAAGAGGAAGCATACATACAATTTGAAGATATTTATGTACATCAATTTCATGGAAGAAAAATAATAATTTTGATCACGATTAAAAATTGTCTTGATTATCATTTCATTTCTAAACACTCATTAATGAACGGGAAAATAAAATCAATGTTTAGTTAATAAAAAACAATGAACAGTATTTTCCTCGAGAAACCTTAATATATTCGGTTTTCAAATACTTTTTTAAGGTATGTCACTCGTGAAATTTGTTATTTCAAGGATTTTTTTTTAGAAGTATATTTCGGATAAGTACTCATATGATATGACTCAAAATCGCAGAAAAAATAGTGTCTCAATGTGCATCTAACTTAGCTACGGTATAATTAAGTTGATCTTTTTGCACTTATATTTTAACTCTTTTATTTATCACTTTAACCATTATCATATTCTATCAGATGCAACAATGGCTATTATTGTAATCTTATTCTACATAAAATAGTTTGATTACTATTTTACAAATATTGCAAATTAATGCACGTAAAATATAGTGTGACCTTTTTGCACTAAAAAAGTAACATGTTTTAGGTATAAAATATAAGTATATAATAATATAAATATCATAAAGTATGAAATAATATTCTAAATACTCAATTAGAAAGAAAAATGAAATTGTCGAAAAGAAACAAAATGCCCAAATGAAAGGAAAGAAATTTGAGTTAATTCAAAAGTGACACAACTATATTTCCTGGACAAGATATACGAGTGACAATCGACATTATCGTAAGAACAAAAGCAGAGGAAATAGAAAATTCAATGTCTTCACAGTTTGATAAGGAGGTTGCCTAGAATACGGAATGATGCGTAATCTGTCAGTCTCAGAGATGTGCCAAGATAACCTGCACGAGATTGAGTTCGGGTTGTGTCCAGGGCAAGGTCAAGGTCAAGTGAATGAAAGCTTTAAAAGAAGATGGATTTCATGTATGTAAGAAATATTTTATACGTGTAAGGAACAACTGTCCATATTCGTTGGAAACATTTTGATGCTTACATTAACAATATTTTTTTTTAATCAAAAACCTTTTATATTGAACAGTAAAATACAACTTTTATATGTATATGTAATTGTCCTTTTTCATAGCAATTGGGAAAAGAGGAGGCATAAATACATTTTAAAGATATATATGTACATCAATTTCATGGGAGAAAAATAATACTTTTAATCACGATTAAAAATTGTCTTGACTGTCATTCCATTTTTAAGTACTTATTAGTGAACAAAGAAATAAAATCAATGTTTTAGTTAATAAAAAATGAATAGCGCGTATTTTCCTCAAGAAAACTTATATTTGGTTTAAAATATTTTTTCTTAAAACGAGGTGGGCAGCCATCATTACAAGAGTATATCTAGCTACACCTCCGGTTGGAATAGTGTAATAATATTGTATCTCATGGAGAGTACACGTAGTCATAGTTTCTTTTCATGTTAATGATGTCTGTATGTACTATGAATTGTGTCACGTTATTGAACTTTTCCTTATTATATAGGAAACAGCTTTTTAATGAGCTTTTCAATTTGTGTGTGTGTGTGTGTGTGTGTGTGTGTGTGTTACCGATATGAATTCGGACTAAAGCTTTTCAGTACCTATGTAAACACAAAATATTTTCAAAATGAATCTGACTCAGGGTGTTTTTTTTTTCTAAAATAGTAGGTTTACTGAAATACACCCGAGACTTTTACCTAAGTTTTATTATTGACTTCAAGCAAAATATAATATGAAGTTGCAGTATGATGTTCAACATACTCAAAATTATCCACAAAAACATTTAACTTACCCAAACAAAGACTTGGTCATTTAAAATAACTGCAGTTATGTATTTTATTCTTTTACAAATAATAAGGAAACTTGTTTCTTAAAAAAAATAAAACATAAACTTTTCAAGTTTTATTTCTATAAACTCTGTTCTACAAGATTATACCAAATTTATAATCTACTTGTTTCAATGGTAAAGGATTCAATGAAACAATAGAATATATCGTCTAAATGTATTCATAACATTCAAACTATAAGATTTTATCTTTATATTTATACGATCTGGAATTGTATATGTTACAGACTGCTAATTAATACTAATTAATTTTACTACATAAACCTATATTTTTGTACAATTACATAAAAATTTACATAGTTTTAAAAATAGATCGTTGAAAACAGACTTGCATAAATAAGATATGTTGTACAGGAAACGTTTAGCCACCAATAACTAGAGAGAAATCAAACAAATGAAATATATAAATATATATATAACAGTCAAAAAGTAATGGTATTTGCACATTAATTCACGATCAATAAGTCCTAAGAAATTCAAGACTAATGGTAAAAACATAAATCAAAATACATTTAATTAATAAGGAAAATGTGTTTTGACTAGAAATTTGACCAGAAATTATAAGTTAGTGTTAACAGCCTCACATATTTTTTGTGATAAAGAAAAAAAATTGTGATTATGATGGACTCATTTATCACAAAAGTTCCTTAATCTCTCAATGACCATGTCAAAGGCCTGGAAGATGATAAACTAAGCAGGGTTGTTTTTTACGAATATTAACGTTCCTCAGACGGATCAATTTTTCGATTTTTTCCAATAAATGACTACTGAAAAATGCACGTAAATCTTGAACAAAAGATGGATGGCGAAAAGGCTTAAAAATAATACAGTTTGAATCCTCAGGAAAGGTAACAGTTAAAATAACATAGCAAATGACAAAATTAATATGAAATTAATCCATTTATTCCGAATGTATGTTTATGATAACTAAAATTATGTCTTCTAAATACCTCATCTGTTAATTATGAAGTTTTCATAAACAATTTCCATAAACAATAAGATGAGATCCCACTTCTTCATTACATTATCTTGAATTTAGCACACAATTAATTATTCAGGTTTAGTGAAGAACATTATTTGGAATCATATATTTTGGAATGCATATTAACACATTTTAATTATCAAACGCTTAGTTACAACATAAACGTGAATTTGTGTATTTCCACTCCATGTTTGGTCAGAATGCTTTGGTGATTCCAGAAATGTCTTTTGTAATCAATCCACATCTGCTTTCTCTAAACCTGGAAAATATTTGAACAATTGAACATGATTTAAACACACGCAAATAAAAACCTAAATTACTTTAGTAATCTTTTTTAATTATATAAGGAGAAAATTACAATTCAATTCTTTTCAGTGTGTCAATAAAGAATCTGTATTTATTAAAATGTTATCGATTTAAGAAAATTTCATGACATAAAGGTAAACTTAATGAGTTGATTGTTCCATTTTCAATATTGGGTACTTAACATTCTTTTCAAGGAAAATGTTCATAGAGTATTGATTAAAAGAAATCAAGCAAATCTTCTGGTCTAATATAAAGAATGCTTGAAATGATTGCAAACGGTACATTACAATGTAGACCTCAGCTCGCTGAATTTAAAAACAAAGTGGTAAATCACTCTTTTTAACATCTTCAAAACGTCAGGGGTCTTGATTGATTGATTGATTGATTGATTGATTGTATGTATGTATGTTGTTTTACATCCCATTCGAGAATATTTTCACTCATATAGAGACGTCACCTTATACTGGTGAGGGGCTTCAAATTATGACCTTTACTGCGCAACAAGGGCCACGAGGCGTGCCGAGACTAAGGGTTCTCCGTTTTTAAGGTGTCATCTGAAGGACCAACAACTTTCACTTTAAAGTGCCGAAAGCTTGGCGAAGGAACATTTGCTGCCATTTTATATCGAATTGGGTCAGTGGTAGCCGACAATCGAACTCAAAACCTTCCAATCACGGAGCGAGCGCTTCTCCATCGCCTGAGTTCAGGGGTCTTGAAAAGCACCATTCAGATCGAAACTTTCAACAGTTGCTAACGTAAACAATAGAAGTGATCAGTAGACACCTCAATGCAGTCTTATCAATTGTTTATTACCCAAATAGTTAAGCTATTGGTCTATTGGGCTTTTAAAAAAAACTACCAAGATTTGTTTTTTCTCCGAAAGACGTCTCTGCAGTCAACCCGTAGAATATTGAAGGAAATTTCTTAGAGGTCTAACCAATTAATTACCATAGGATTGGAACTTTTTGGAGGAATATATAAGAGGCTTACAAAAGATAACTTCAGAAGCATGAAGGGATTCTTTGTCAACGATTTTAACTAAAATATTTTTAATATGAGTATACCAAAAATGGCATAAGGCTCCTTTTATCCATCACAATTTATAGTCATTGAAATAGTAAACAGCTGTACATACATATAAGAGAGCAAAAGTTTCTCTCTCATTATCGCTCTCTCTCTCTCTCTCTCTCTCTCTCTCTCTCTCTCTCTCTCTCTCTCTCTCTCTCTCTCCTGACAAGCATTGAGCATATAAAAAGTCAACGAACCTTTTGCAAGGAGCTGTGAGGTATCACGTCAAATTAACACCCATTCTCTTCAAAGCCAACATTGCATTGACAGCTTTCTGTAAATAAAATTATGAATCTCTTATTTTATCATTCTGTTCAAAATTTATGTTAATAACATCTTAAAAATTCTGTACCTAATTTCTTTATGCATGTATACGTATGCATATGTATGTTGAGCTATTAGAAAAGAGAATGATTCATAAGCTTAAGCAATACTTCTTGTGTCCAAAAAAAAATTAAAATCCTTCGGACTACAGGTGATTAGTCTTCTTTTTTGGCCTGTATAAGATAATTTGATGTTACTTTACCTGCCATTTTCTCCTAAATACAAATTTCTTCAACCTCTTCTTAGAGAGAGAGCGCTCTGGCAAGCGTGCTTCTCTTTTCTGGGAACGCTGAAGGAAAATTGTTTGATAAAGATTAAACACGACTTATGCTTCTTTTTTAAAAGTTAGCCTAGGAAAAAATTAAACAATTTGCATGTAGTTGACACTATACCTACCCTGAGCCATATGTGATCCAGACACTCACGTGCAGTCATTCTTTTCCTTCGGAGAAAAATAAAAGCATAATTGTTATATTGCTTCTTTTTGCTCTTGATATTTTTTAGCAAAGGATAAGGTACAATGAGGGTTAAATTCGACCCTTATGTCATCGATCATTTCAGACAACCAGTTCTTAAATTTATTCATAGATACATGTGAACGTGAGTGGCTTACAACTATTTCTCTGTTCTGACCCCCTCAACCCTCAGAAAGTAAAAATGTTTTCCGAAAGGCTATTTCAGTTTTTGTTTATTTTGAAAATGCAAATATATCTTCCTTTTGCTGTTTTTTCTACTTTATTTATGTAAAACAACAGTTCATAATAATTTTCTACATTTAAGAAATAAATAACAAGTTTATAAACTTCAATGGGAATTGAAGTGGGTCGGTCACGTGATCAAATCCTGTGAAGGCCGAAGGCCTTCTCAGAAGATTTGATCACGTACCGACCCACTTCAATTCCCATTGAAGTTTATAAACTTGTTATTTATTACTTATATATACATTTGAGACAGACAATTGAATATTTTCGAATTTAAATTATTGCACTAACCGTCCGTCGTAGATTTTGAAAAATGACGCAAGGTGTAAATCGGCTTGCATGGCGGTTACGCTTCAAATTCATTAGACTAAGGAATCTATTTCGAAGGGAATATTTTGTGAAAGGCTACTTGTGATCAGTAATAGTGAACAGATTGTTGTCTGGGAATATTTTATTCGTGAAAATGATAATCGATGCTGAAAAGACACAAGAAACACGTCCGAAGTTTGATGATAAAAAGTTAGAGGAATTTCGGTCGCTGGAAAGGGATGGATGGATCCGATGGACTGAGACACTTGTCCGAGCCAGTTAATTTGCAATTTGATCAAAAATATTCTACGGTTTCAGTAACTAAAGGCATACTTATCGTAAAACACTGATAAACACGGAGACACTGGCGACAGCTTTATATTGAACTACGAAAACACCGAGGTGTTTGGCAGCTGTTCATGACATGATTGCAAAGATATTTTCCAACAGATTTACACATTTATCGTGAGAAAAATTTAAAGATAAAATAAAAGTTTATCATGAAAATTAAACCAAAGGTCTATCCAAAAAATAAGGATGAACGTTAGAGACTGTGCAGCTGACAAAAGTGAAGAAAAATGTAAACAAATGCTAAAGTTTTCTCTATACACAGGTTGAATAGATAGCCCAAAAACTGTATGAAATACTTGTTTATATTTAAAATAAAATAATTATCATTTTACTTGCTTATTTTATTCATTTTTATACATGAAAAGCAAGTAGAGCAGGTCATTTTATAATTTATGTACCGGTAGATATTATTGCGCCGTGTGATTAGGTCACGTATTGACCTCTGACCTCTGACAAACTTCATACAGAATTGAAGATATTTTCTCTCTGTATGTTTATATAATGGAGAGATACCACAAATGTATATAGGCCTATTGAAATTTAAGTAAGAAGAAACTGCATTGAAATACAAGTATATGTACATTATATATATGTTTATTGTAGAAAGACAACAATTATCATATCTACATGTATACTGTGTAGAAGTTACGAGTATGTACCTTGGATCTTTCACCAATAATTTCGATATGAAATCCTTTGCTTCTGTGGATATACTTTCAAATTCTTCTGCGCTAAAATCCCATTTCGCTGACGTCACATTGACAAGAGTGTCTGCTTCGGTGTCACCAACAAAAGGTGATAACCCTGATAGTCTGTTAAATATATAGTGAGTAGTTTTAAAGAAATAAGTTAACACTGGTATGATCTATATATTCATTTGTGGTTCCTGCGTTTTTTGCACTTTAATTTAATGGTTTTCTGTTCGATTTAATTAAATCACATAAAATCTGCTCACATAGCTTGGGAATGTTTCAAAGATGTAATAAACTTTATTATATAATTCTACAATTCATGTACATGCCAGATCTGTTTTGGAGCAGGATTTTAACTGATAAAGGTAAATTCTAACTTTTCTTTAAGTTATGCAAGGTTCCGAGAAAAACTTACAAAACATAACATATAACACCTATACTCCACATATCTGTTGCTGGTGAAGCGGGGTCAAAGTTCACGACCTCTGGCGCCATGAACTCGGGAGTTCCAAATAAGATTCGGAGATCACCGGAAGGATCGTATTTTCTTGCTAATCCAAAGTCAATAATTTTTATGATGTTGCCTTCTCGTGTTAAACACAAAATATTTTCGGGCTGTAAAATAAATAAAGAATGTGGGTTTTATCTAATCTCTAAAGCATAAACCAAAAAAATATACAAGGTCGGTATGATAATTACCAATGTACTTGATTAGGACTGTCAGATTTGTACCTTTCAGCTGCCAATCCAAATTATCAGACAAAAAACAGACAGTCAGATTTCATATATATTTACAGAATACAAGTGTTTTCCAATTGCACAGGCTAACGCTATAGTGCCGATACAAGCTGATTCAATTGAAATATTGCCGAATTAATTAAGATACCTTCAGATCTAAATGCAGAACCTCTCTACAATGCATAAAGGCGATGCCTTCACATATCTGTCGCATAAACATATTGCAGGCTTTCTCCGTCAAGATAAAATCATCGTTGATTACTCGTTCAAAAAGCTCTCCGCCCGAAATCCTGTTCAAGAAATATAGTGTATTAATTAAAGAGACTTTCAGTCAACGAGAAATTGCACTTAGGCCAGATGTGGTTACGTAAATAGTAAAAGTATATCAATTCATTTTATATTTGAACATGTCTGAAGATCCAAAGCAGGAATAGGATATAAGTTAATTGTATATTGCTTTGTTTTATGTCCACTCCCAATTCTAAAACTTAATTAAGTATTTTTGTAGACAAAATGTTGTTGTGCTGTTGTTGTTGTTGTGATGATGTTGTGAGGATGTTGGTCAATGTTGTTTTGTTATTATTATCATAACACTTGAATTAATCGAATCAGTTGTATTTACCAATTTTACTTAGTCTTAATAGATAACCGAGAATTCGGTCAGGGTTTCTACAATACAAAGTGTTTACCTTAGCTCATATCTATAATCGATTGCATATGCGTGTTCTTTCTAATGAGGACAAAAACGTTTGTTTATAAATACCATATAATTGGTAGGTAAATCTACTCACAATTCTGTTACAATGCAAAACGTATCCTTTTTCTCAAAAGCGTCGTACAATTGCAACAGGCGAGGATGCTGAAGGGTTTTCATTATGGCCACTTCGTTTATGACGTCATCTCTTTCTTGGTGACCGTTTACTGCGATAAACTTCGCAGCCAAGAATCTCCCAGTTTTCTTCTCTTTACATTTTTTAACTTCTCCAAATTTTCCTCTATAGAAATTAAAATCAAAGGCATTACTATGTGTAAAACCCAGATTGTACAGCTTTTATTTACTTCCATTACAATGATGCATCAACCAAAAGTTAATTTTGACTCTGAATACATGTATCAGTATTTCTGAAAGAATGTCAAAATGATTTATTACATATAACTGATGTTAAAGAGACATTTCCTTCCTTTTTTGCAAAAAAACTACTCAAAGCTCAAAATGATTGTTTCTGATCATTTTTTTTTTATTTCAACAGCTCAAAATGATATCTTTTTTTGGCCATTTTTTTTTTCAACAATGCATTTCAGCATTTAAAAGTAAAAAGCATGGGATTTAAAATTTGTGTGTAAATATTTCAGTTCTTTTTTGGCCTAAACAATGAAATGTAGAATTTTAATGATGCAAAAATTCTATAAAAGCGTGAAAACAGTAAATAATGTGTTGCTTTGAGGCAGTAAAAATCATTAAAAGTTTATCATAAATGATAATATTTTTTGGGATTTTGTAGATAAAAGTTATCTATACACTTGATTTACCTGCCCAGCAGTAAATCTGTGACGTCATATTCTTCTGTAACCCACTTTGATTTCTTAATGCTGACGTTTCTGTGTTCAAAGGTCAATTCATCAACTGCAAAAGAAATACATAAATGTGTTGAATAACAACATTGGACGGGAGTGCAATTTACAAGACTCTTTTAAAGTTATACTTTCAATTTAAACTGCAAATAAAACTCTTAGACTAAAGATAATGCAAAAAACATTTTCCCGGAAATGTATGACTACAAAATCCTTTCAAAAAGTTGTATAATGTTACAAATGACGAATGAAAACTATCAAAAAGCAATCTACCACCAAAGTACACATTAATTTCAACATCTCATCATGTTGTGTTTGCACCGAGATACATTTTGGCAATTTGAAATCTCACCGAATTCATCGAAGTCAAAAGTCAAGCATTACAAGAGATAATATTTAAAAGTGTTCTTGAATTATAAAGAGTTTATTTTCTGTTTCTCGGTCACTTAATTTCCAGAAAAAAAGTACCAAAAACTCTAAAGTAGCATTTGTCCTTAAAAACTTTGTATTAGTGTATTGCTTTTGTTTTTTTATAAACTTGTTGTCGTGGTAATTAGAGACCTGCTGTATCATGCAAGATATTTTTTCCTTACATGGAGTAAATCAAGCATAACAAAATGAAAAAGAATCAGGATTTCAAAACAAAAGATACAGGATCGAAAAAAAATGTATTTCTGTTTTGTTCGATTTTTTTAAAGTACATAAAATGTTTTGATTGCATGGTGCGTGCAGTTGAATATGTCAAAAACGGTATCATATGATGTTGATACAACTGCTGTTTGCAGGAAAAGACCAGATGGCGCTGAAAAAATATTCTTTTAAAGATATCTAATCGACACTGTGAGCATCTAAATAATCCATTTAAAAGAGAAACGAAAGAATCTTGAAAAAATAAAAAAAGATAAAACAAATTCTGTATATACTTTTTAAATTATACAAAAATATACCAAAGAATTTCGCCTACAGTGAAACATTTACAGCAATTTTGCATATTAAAAATGACCAGAAAAGGTTTTAAAACTTTGATATTTGACGTCAAAAATACCTGCTCAGTCGGTCGTTAACATACATGTACGTCTGTGATGAAACATAATGTTGACTGGTTTGTTTTAGAACTTAACTGTTATTCTAAGTCTGTTCATGCTATATTCAAATACAATTATACTCTCACTCACTCTCTCTCTCCAAAAATTTCAACATGCAACTCACATTCCACGACGCCATTTATATTTGATGGATCATTAAAAGTGACAGGTAAAGTACAATTAATCGGTCTGTGAAGTTTAATAACCAACACTGCCAAAATATATCTACAAGTGAGAATTCTAAAACGTGATGTACTTTCGGAAATGTTAATAAAAAATAGAATTTTAAATTCGTTCAGAGCATATAAGCAATGTTGTTAATTTCTATTTTTATTTAAACCGTTCTAAGGAGCGTAAAATATTTTTCTCTTTCCCCATTTATCTTTTTTGAAGATGAAGTTAAATGCATTGGCCTACACATTCGGTGTTCTTTTCTCGTCTATCTTGCGTTGATGAGAAGCAAAAGACATGAGCTTTAATGAATATGTGCAAACGTCGTCTGGAAAATTTTACTTTTGATATGTTGAGCAACACTCAAATTAAACACCTTTAATTTATTTTTAACAATGAAATGCAAAACTTAGTTCGAAACTGACAGTTTCATAAATGGGGAAGGTTGTTCTCAAACTCATATCATTCTTTCGAAAGTTAATTCAACAAGGAACTTTATTTTTTGACTTGTCAGCGAATATTCTGACTGACATATCAAATACACTTTCATTATTTCAATGATAAAATATATTGATAAAACATAAATCGGAATGACTATCTTTCCTAAAGTTCCATTAATTTAGAATGATACAAGAACGCAGTGTCGCCTAATGTCTTTGATAAAAGAAGACAGCGCCTCTTTGATTCAATTGTGACACTTTAATTAACAAGATCTATCATCATTTTTATGGAAATTCAGGCGACTTAAATAATGAAACCACTGGTTTCAATCAATAAAGTTTAATCTATCAGAAGATGTTGAAAAAAACCATCCGTTGTCTCCACAGTACGTCCATTAGTGGGACAATACGTGCAATCTCTTTCTTTTATCAGTTGCGGATCCAGGTTTTTCTTATTTTGGGAGCGTATATTTATTAAAAGAAGAAAAGAGAATGATGCTAACATAAACACCCAATATTTAACTTTTTAAAAAATAAAATTGGGAAATTGGGTATGTGTGATGGTACGTATTTGGACTTCTATGGCCTTCCTTTGCTCTTACACTTTTTGTTGGCAGCAGTGTAACCTTACCTCCAGAAGGCTCACTTTCATCCACGTGCACTTTGCTACTTTTCTTCATTTTTGTGTTTTCTATAACCATACATCTGAAAATGAATTTAAAAAATGAAATAAACACCGTTAGAGTCTCCACGTCGGTATGAATTTTCAAGCCATACCGAATTTTACTTGTAGAAATAAACTATACATCAAAAGCATTTTGCAATTTATTATTGCTGGATAAGTGAAGATTGCATAACAGAGAATCAGATTTATCTGATTGACAGTCGTAAAAACAGAATTATTTTGTGTATCACAGCTAATAGACAAAATCATCAACATATGGCAGAAAGCACGGGAGTTGTCGGTTACACAGCAGTTTTATGATGATAACATAAGCTGTGGCCCCCTTTTCTTCTACAAGGATATATGGCAAACATATCAAAGCTGTCTAAAAACGTAGGTGAGGTCAATCGATAGAACTAAAAGTTGTTTAAAAAATAGATAGTGCAAGTTAATCTTATCTAATTTGGCTAAACATATATCCAAAATGATATTTTTGCAGTAAGGAAAACGCAGAAATGAGATTTTTCTGACATTTGCAAAACAAAACAAAAAAAGGAAAAAGATAATTCGAAGTTGTAGTTTGTTTTATTGCTCTCTAATTATGCCATTGCTGTTTTCACATAAAAATGCTAAAATCCTTCACAGTGTGTGAATAATAAAAGTATATAAAAATCACGAGGGGAGTAGCGAAAAAAATCCCCAGGTGTTTTACTAGAAGAAATAATCATCTGAAATGAAAACAAAAGGGAGCAGACTTCGATCGACCACACATATCATATCTAAAAGACAAAGCAGTCTGGTTAATATCATTTTGGTTCAAGTTATAACTTCGGAATTTTTTTGCTTATTTTCAACATCGGGACCACACAGCTGGATTCTGATAGCTAAATTTGATTTTAATGTTTGTAAAAAAAAAATGTGTGAAAACAATGGATCAAAAGATTTTTTTATTCAAGATAACCCTGTTTGATTATCTGCAATAAGACAAAGAGAGGGAAACAAATTTTATTTTCCTTCAATAAAAGTGTATCCAAGTTGAGAAAAGAGACATTTCAACAATGTGTTTTGTACATCATGGTTCTATTTGGTTCCTGTTGGAACATAGGGTCTCAATATGTGCTTTCTACAAACTTGTCAGAATTTTCCCCTTAGAAAGATCCATATGAAGAAACCACAACTAAGAGTTAGCAAGTTATTAATGGAGTTGTTCGTTAAACCGCAGACACGTGGGCAAGGATAGCTAGACAGATGATGAGAATAGAAATAAGGAATGACTAAATGATAATACAGATATAAAAAAGAAATAAGATTGGGAATTATAATGAAACTTATTAAGAAGATCAAACACACTTGAAAACTCTTCTGATTGTAGCAGAAAGAATTCAACAAATGTATACAAGTAGGTAAAGAAACTGCTGTGCTTTACAGATTTATATGAACCTCGATTAACCTTTAAAGAAATATGATGTTGTGCAGATCACTTCGAAAACCTTGTTGGAATACTCGATGTAGTTAATGACTTGTAAATAAAATGCCACATCAAACGCATTTTTCGCGATGAACAAAGTATGGTGCAACAAGGTGCAAGGAAACTGTGATCTTAGCACCAACGTGAACTAGCTGTTAGTTTCACTCCTTGCTGATCTTCTAATTTTCAGGATAAGATGTAATCGTGTGCTTCGCCATTTTCCATTCCTCTTATTGTCAAAAGCTTGCTTCCCACTGCTCGATAAACAGGCATTAGGCTCATGCGGGGTTTGATGGTGTTCTTTCTAGATGATGAGCATGCCAGCAGTGTTTAAGTTAATCAACGTCATATAGTTAGATTGTTAAAAAATATCACGGTACTAAATATTTTCAGATATAGGTGACCTTGGATCATGTAAAAGCTTCCGTCGGCCAAATCGAAAATGGAAAACGATGCGTTTGACATGGTTTACATGTAGATATGCGGATTCGAGCTTAAATTCCGTAGATTTCCTAAGGCTACTCAACGAAATTGCGTTTCATGTAGTTAACAAAATGACGAATCAGTATGCAAGTATAATTGAATGATCTTTATGCCATGTCAGTCCGTTTAGAGTTTACATGTAACAATTGTTTCATTCTTCAAGTCAATGCGTAGGCAGGAACATGCAGCATATTTAGTATAATAGCTATTTTCAATTGGATTCATTCTTGCTAGAAATTATTTTCAGCATGAGAATCGAGACGAGGTACTCCTTCAAAATGATGAAGTTTGATCCAATTGCTAAATGGAACCAGTGCCAATTTTCGGTTTCTTGGCCATTTTGGTCGAATTCTTTTAAAAAGTTATCTACCTTCAAGCAAGATGCAACGACTAACAAAGAGGTCTTGGCAGTGTACTATCGACAGCTGTCAATGGAATGACCTGACGTGATAATAGAATACAATGTTTTTGTATAAAAAGAGGGAAAGAATAGGTTTCTGTGTAATTAGGCGTAAAGGTGGGGCATTTATCGGTATTTTGATATAAACATATAATAGGATATTGACATCAATACATTGCACGAAAAACCTACATCTCTCAGCAACTGATTAGGAAAACATACGTCAGTGGTTTATAAAAATTCCGTCTTATCGCTTAATCCATTTCATCAAATACTTGTTCTCCATTCAAAGATAACTATTTGTCCTTATCGAAATCTGATTTTTAAAAAAATGCGAAAGAATTTTGGATTTTTTTTATATTATCAGGTGTTTGTTACTAAAAAATTAGAATATTTTCTTGATTAAAAAAAAAAAAGCTTTACCAAAACAATGCATTTTTTATGAATAATATTCAATATTTTTATTACGGCCCTGTTAGGTTTACGTGATGTTTGGCAAATCTATAAATGCAATATCATGATTTATACTATAAAATATATATAATTTTTGCAGACCACATGGCATGGAGATAAAGAATTATGCTTTATAACTTATTATTTGCTTATCTTCCTATTGGGTGTGTTCACCGTTTTACAGGAATTATGAAAGAAAGAATGCTTAGCCCCCTGTTCGATAAACCCAGTTTGTTATCAGATAATAATCACATTAACAAAGAAAATACATTATAAAAGCCCCTTGTCAAAAATTCATTATATGCTTATGGCAATTAGTAAAACAAAAATCGTTTTTGCATGATAAGCTTCATTGAAAGTATTACTTATTTCTATCTTTTCTACATTCAATTTAAAAGATTTGAACTACTCTTGTATACTGCAATAAACAAAGTTTACATTAAAAACATTGGTTTATGCTAGCAGCTCTTTTGATTTCAAATACCAAGGAAAAACATCAGAGAGATAGCTTCTCTTTGTAAGAAAACCGGAAATGCTCGTCAGCGTCCGCAATGTTGTGTTCTGGATATCTGTTTCGTATATCTGTCATCATCAAAGACTCTTCCTACAGTAAATATTACTACTTTTTCAAATAAAAAAAAATCATATACTTTCTGTTCAAATAGAGACTGTGTCAGTTTTTTTTCCTTACATAAAATTTAACAAAAAATACCACTGAGTTCTGGCTCGGTGTTTATCTGGCTAAGGGTTATGTAGGAACTGCAAGCGAAGCAGCCACAAGTTTTCATTCACCGTTTTATCTGAGGGTACATCTAAGAACGCACACTTTTCGCACTAGATTAACACGATAGAATGTGGTTAAGTATGCGGAGATAATACTGCGATTAAGCCGTGATGCTGGATTAAAGGAACTAATGCTGAAATCCATTTACATTCCCTACACTTCCGTTCAAATGCAAGATAATCTTATTTTTTCCGAAAGTTACATCACAATTGCAAATCTCATGGAAGTGTTCCAAATTTAAATTTATTATATTTCAGAGTTAGACAGCTATGCATTAGTTTTGCAAATCAAATAAAGTTGTCTGAACTGCAAAATTAAATCTGCCATTTAGGATGTCTAGAAATACATACAACATGCACATGTACAATGAATAAAACAGGAGGGCTAGGAAATGTAATCGTGGAACAACATTTTCTGTAGAATATATGCCCTTACCGAAAATATTGCCTTCCTGCAAATATTTGCTGCAAGTCTGCAGCAAACATTGCTGCAAGCTTGCAGCAGACATTGCTGCAAGCTTGCGGCAATGTAGCCAAAGAAAGCATGACAGTCTATACAAAGCCTTGGTGTTTGCAGCAAGTTAGCGGCAAGTCTGCAGCAAGCTTGCTGCAAACATTTTACCATGCAAATGAGGTTTGCTGCAAGTCTGCAGCAAACACTGGATTTTCCAAATAAGGGAACCTTGCTGCAAGTTTGCGGCAAACATTGCTGCAAGCCTGCCGCAAACATTGCTGCAAGCTTGCGGCAAACATTGCTGCAAGCCTGCTGCAAACACTGCAGCAAGCTTGCAGCAAACATTGCTGCTAACTTGCAGCAAACAATTTCCTTATGGTTTTGGCACATTCCTTTGTACAAGCAGCAAGTTCACAGAAAGCCTTTGTCCTGACCTAAATCTGTTAAGTCTAGAGAAAATCCACCACATGTTTCTGAAAAGATGCAGTTTTATGAAGTTATGATAGGCCCTCTTTACGTTCCTAGACAAAGTTTTCATACCTTTTTAAAATGAAAGTGCATGATAGCTTTTTATATGAACAGAACTTTAAGAACTTTACATATAATTTTTAATGAATATTTTTGTGATTACACATTTACTAATTAATTTGATAACATTGAACTGATTTGGGTCCATTAATACTTTTAAGAAGTATACATATGTGATATCAAAAAGAGGACTGAAATTCATAATAAGAAACAGATTTAGATTTGACCTAGCATTTACACCAGTTACTCAAACCTGCTTTTAAGAAATATTCTTTCAAATATCAAAATAAATCAAAATCATTTCTTACCAATTAGATATCATGGATAGAATGAACACCTACATCCAGAGTTTGGCACTTTTAATCATTCAAATCGATGTATATTCCTACCAAAATACTGAAACATGTACAACTTCAATTCCAACATTTCAAAATGGCCAGTTTTGTGTTGACCCAGTACAATCTGCGTTTCATTGGCTGATATGACTTGTTTACTGTTCTTGCGAACTTCCTGCAAACATTTGAATAGTGAAAAGTTTCCTGCGAACTTGCTGCGAACATTAAATTGGCGTGTATGCTTCATGCAATGTTCCTGCAAACATGTTGGGTTCCTGCGAATTTGCTGCAAGCTTGCAGCAATTGCTGCAATGTTTGCCGCAAGATCGCAGCTAGCGGCAATCATCTGCGAACAAGAAAATTTTCTTCCTGCGAACAATTTTGTTTGCTGCAAGCTTGCTGCAGACTTGCTGCAGGCCTGCAGCAAACATATCAGTTTGGTAAGGGTGACTATTCAAATAAAGTTTTTACATTTGGCAGGCGTTATGATTTAAAGATTCAGCAGCAACGAACAAACTTTTAGAAAAATACTCACTTAAGTTTGTAATAGCATATATGTTCGGCATGGAATGGACCCATTCCACCCTTGTTCACTTCATAATAGTACTCCAGCTTTGCAGGATTCAAATTGATGTAGCAGAAAATGCATTCCTCCAAAGTTCCACTTCTGGTCTCTATTTACTGTAGATAGAGCAGACGGTCCTGTAAATTTCATTTCCTGGAAAATTTTTGTCTCTCACTTGTGTCTGCCCATCCTTACACAAAGAGGAATCCAAAGCGGAAGGGAAGTTGTGACGTCATCGAGATCATTCTGAAAAATCACGTGAGTTTCTTTTCTGTTAGTTTGAGGCTCGATAGACATTTCTAATTGGTCGTATATATGTTTCTTCTATGATTAGAGATATGCTTTATCAGGATATGATAAGAAGTTCAGGTGATATTCTTTCAGTATGCAGTATTCAGTATACCGGGGTAATATAAAATGTGATCAACATGTACAAAAGAAAAATTCTATATTCTATAATCACTTAAATTTCAAAAAAAAAAATAAACATGTATGTATATATTACAGACCTAGGAAAAAGGAACTAAACATTATAGCAGCTGCAAACGTATTTATCTTAATCAAATTAGAGAATACGCATATGCATGTATATTTTAATATGCAAGCTAGATTCCACAAGAGAGCGTATGTAAGAAGCAACACGTTTTTTGTTATCACGGATCATTAGACAACCGTATTTACTATCAGTGGAATGTTTGGGACTTGTTTACTACGTACGACCTAAAGGCCATGACCCAGGAATAAGTGGCCAGGCATCTGGTTGTGCGATTGCCATTATTACGAAGTATAACATAACACTCTATAATAATTATATATTGCTCTCTTTGAGAAACTAGACAAGAGCAATTCCTAAAGTTTGGTGCACTGAAACCAATCTGTAGGTACATTCGTCATAAGAAAGAGGAAACTTGTCTTCTATGAATAACTTCCATTCTCCAGGATCAAGGCATCTTAGTTATGTTATTTTTTCCTGGTTGATTCTTACACAATACGACAGAAGATGCATTGCAAGAGTTAACATAAGAATTGCTGACTCTGCAAAACATTTGGTTAATCACTTCTTAAAGGGGATAATGGGTCAAACACTCTGATGTAGTAATTTACAAGTAAAATCTTGCATATACTATTAATCTCTTTTATGTTCAGAATTCTTTTTGTATACATGTGTAATAAACATGAAATACGAGGGTTGTTCAATAAATAATGTCCTGAGCTCTATGACATACAATATAGAAATCATATGATATTAAGCTTGACTTTCTCTCATGAATAAATCTTTAATGAATTGATTACAGTTTATGTGACCACTTTTCATCTCGTAGTTTCATTGTGAGAAGCTGGAAAACAAGGGATATTCGAGACACTGCATTAAAAATAAGTGGTAAAGAATCAGTAAACAAGAGCGAAATTAAATGCTTCATGAAAGCTGCTGTAAAACTCGTTAAGAATCCCAAAGAAATACTACCTGAAATATGTGAAATTTACAGCAACTTATGTCTGTTTTATAGACACATGAGCAGGTGGATTTCATTGAACAAAAGTTATATAATGGGCATCAAAAATGGGTACCGTCCTTGGTGACAAATACTTACAACAACCAATATAATGTTTGCGAAAATTCAACAAATAATCACTGATGATGATTGATTGAATTAAAGACACATAGCAAAATTGATAGGTATCATTTTGGGGGTAGTTTACAATGTTTTAAAGAAACATTTGACAGTAAAAAAGCTCAGTACTCAATGGTCACCCTATTTTTTTTTGAAAAATGGGTGAAAGCAACAGCGTGTAAGAATATCTAAACAATTATTTTTAAAAAAAAAACAACAAAAATTGCAGTTATCCACGTTTGTCTGAACTTTAAAGAGATAGTGAAACTTGATTTCATTGCTTTAAACCCTCAAAACAAATTTACAATAAGGTGCACTTGACAAAACCAACAAAGGTCTAAAAAAAAAAAAAAAGCAACGAATTTCAAAAGCACAAAAAGGTTTATATGTCATTTTCCTAAATATTAGTAGTCTTCTTGTTCACATTTTTATTCGGGGAGGAGTTCAATATCTAAAAGCAAATTTTTGCAAAAAAAGAAAAACAAAAAACGAAAGGTTTATGAGAGGATGGAACCAGAATCCACTACTTTAAATTTCTTCATGACAGCGTCCAAACCCACAGACCACGAAGAGTAAAGTAGTTTTGGGAATAAACAGAAAGTTAATGTTTTGTCAAACCAACAACATTCGCCAGATCTTTCATTCTATCAGTTGTTTCATTTTCCAAACTTGAAGAAAAAACATTCACAGAGAAGAAAGAAGTCAAGGAAATCATAGGATCTGCCATATTCCAGTATACGAAGGGCAATACTCAAAAATGCGTTTTAAAAACAATCAGAAATTGGATAAAAATGTTACGGACATGTGTTTCAATTAAAAGAAAATATTTAAGTAAAATCATAAAGGCTAAAAGCGTTTTTTGTTGCTTTCCAGAGACAGATGCGCACGAGATTTACATGTATAATAGGGCTTCTTAGCTCCTGACCTATTGACCTGCCTAATTTACAGCACGCTTACTTTCAAAGGGTTATCACAGAGAGAAAATTTAGAAATGGAAATATTTATTGAACAGCCCTCGTACACAAAGATTAGATTGAAAGTGTCCGCTAATATACTTTGTATATGTTCTTTAGATAAAGAAAAGATATAGCCATACCCTAACCTTTCACTATTGTACTATTTGCATGTATATACAGTCTCTCTCTCTCTCTCTCTCTCTCTCTCTCTCTCTCTCTCTCTCTCTCTCTCTCTCTCTCTCTCTCTCTCTCTCTCTCTCTCTCTCTCTCTCTCTCTCTCTCTCTCTGTGTGTGTGAGGGAGGGTGTGTGTGTGTGTGTGTGTGAGTGTGTGTGTGTCTGTGTGTGTGTGTGTGTGTTTTAAAAGACACAAATTTCGCTTCTGTTTTATTTACATCCACTGAATATTTTTTCTCCAATATTGTCAATCATTAAACATCAAAAATCATATCACCAGTACAGATTTCTTAAGCAACAATTCTTCAATCTATCAATGAAACATACAAAGACATATCAATAATACAACATTTAATTTTCTTAATCTTACTTTAGATGAGTATATTATGATCGAGAGGTTGAGATAACCAAAGCGTTTGAACGACAAAAAGTCAAGGTCAATGTCACTAAAGTTTGAAAAAAAGTTTGGAGTCAAAATTTTTAAAGTAGTTTTTAAGTTCCATATTTGCAACAAAAATATCGATGCAAGGGATACAGATATACACTTGTAAATTAAAGGAAAAACAAAACAAAATAGCTAAGAGCAGAGCAAACATGGACCTCCAAAACATCATAGGTGGAATCAGGTGCCCTGGAAGAGTGAGCATCCCACCCGCCGTGTGCTTTTTGTCATGATCGGGAAATAACGGAAAATCCGTCGTCAATTCAGTGTGTAAATAATGGACTAACAATTGGTATGAAAACGTCAGTCAGCATTTGACTCAATTATAAATTGACAAAATCATCGTATCGACTATAGAACTTACGAAATGATGACATTAAACGAGACTGCTGATATTCTTGTTTCATCAACTTGTTTGTTAGTAATTTACCTCCTTTTATAAATTGTACATACGTAGAGCATGCTCTTTCGTATCGATTCAACTGAGAGATATAAACTCCGTATGCAGGTGATGAAGGTATATTGCTGCATAAGTAGGGAAGTGTGACGATTGAAAAGATAAAGTCATCACGTTCATAGAGCTTGGTTGTTAGATTACCATTTTTTTTGTCGAGTAAAATATCCAAATATGAAACAGATGTGTCAGATTCTGTGGTATCTTTTATCTCAAGCTCACCGGGACACTAGTATATCGTGTCGACATAAGAATGGAAACAACCATTGCTAACTGACAATACGTCGTCGGTATATCTAAATGAGTTGAAGGCCACAGCAAGTTTTTCCTTTTTTTATGCGCGTATAAGATTTTGGACAAATTCTGCTTCATATGAATACAAAAATGTGTCTGCTAATAACGAGGCGCAATTGGACCTGGTCTCAAAAAACCACATAGAAAATTGTCAATCAAAAACTCAAGCACCGTTCGTCAATTTCAGAGTACAGTGAAAACTGTCTAATCCGACACCTGAATAATCCGACACCCTGTGAATTCCGACGTTAAATTTCATTCCCATTTAAGTATTTTCCTTGATTTTAACACTGTGCAATCTGACACCCTGTCTATTCCGACACAAAATTTGTTTTTAACCAAATAACAGAATGTTTTTGCAAATAATGACCAATGACAAGGTAGGCCAACAGAAATTTACGAGTTCCATTTTTATTGAAAAAGCAGCTGTCAATGATATAAAAAAAACCTGGACTTTAATTTATCGTAGTTTTTAAGCTGTTGATTTGGGTAAAATCCTGTGATTTCAAATTTTCCAAAAGTTCTTTGGAATTTTTAGGTATCCACATCTGATTTACACCACTTCTTGAATACATTGTTGTGCAGTGCTCTTGAAGTTTTTTCTTCATTACTGTAAATATGTGAGGAGTAAAGAAGAGGCTTGGTTGAACCTTCACTGGAACCCGCTTATGTACCTTTCTTTGTAAGGATTTTAATGAACTTTCGGAATCTAATATAGATATGGTAATTCAAATTTCATTTTGGTTGTTTGGGATATTAAAATTATTGATTTTGAAGAATTTCTTCTTTAGAAAGGAACTATGAGTATAAGTTTGATTACATGTACCACTAGTAGAGTTAAATCCAAGTTCTCCTTAAAAAACAATTTACATAATGAGCCTTACAAACGAAGACAATGCACCTGCTTTGTCCGCAAGGACAGTACGTACAAATCATGTAATTTATGTAATTCTTTTTTCACTTCTGAATTATAGAATACAGAAGGATTGATGGTTTTCATATTGCCTCTCAATTTTTTGATACGCGATTGTAACATAAATCTGATACATTTAATCCATTCTGACAATGTGTCAATGTCTTCCTTTTCATACCTGGCCCACCGCCTGGCGTAATCTTATACAGAATCCATAATATATATGAAACTCCAACGCCAGTTGAAGGATCGGGGTTCACTATATTTTGGACCTTTTGAAATTAGTGATCTAAGGGTCTTCATTATTAACTATATTTACATATTTACATCACCTGTAATGAATAATATTCAGTGGATGTATTATACAATTATTGCTGGTTTTTGAG